GTGGATTTTTTAAAGAATATTTTTTTAAGGACCATCCACCAAGGCGTGGATTTTTAAAGAATATTTTTTTAAGGACCATCCACCAAGGCGTGGATTTTTTAAAGAATATTTTTTTAAGGACCATCCACCAAGGCGTGGATTTTTTAAAGAATATTTTTTAAGGACCATCCACCAAGGCGTGGATTTTTTAAAGAATATTTTTTTAAGGACCATCCACCAAGGCGTGGATTTTTTAAAGAATATTTTTTTAAGGACCATCCACCAAGGCGTGGATTTTTTAAAGAATATTTTTTTAAGGACCATCCACCAAGGCGTGGATTTTTTAAAGAATATTTTTTTAAGGACCATCCACCAAGGCGTGGATTTTTTAAAGAATATTTTTTTAAGGACCATCCACCAAGGCGTGGATTTTTTAAAGAATATTTTTTTAAGGACCATCCACCAAGGCGTGGATTTTTTAAAGAATATTTTTTTAAGGACCATCCACCAAGGCGTGGATTTTTAAAGAATATTTTTTTAAGGACCATCCACCAAGGCGTGGATTTTTAAAGAATATTTTTTTAAGGACCATCCACCAAGGCGTGGATTTTTTAAAGAATATTTTTTTAAGGACCATCCACCAAGGCGTGGATTTTTTAAAGAATATTTTTTTAAGGACCATCCACCAAGGCGTGGATTTTTTAAAGAATATTTTTTTAAGGACCATCCACCAAGGCGTGGATTTTTTAAAGAATATTTTTTTAAGGACCATCCACCAAGGCGTGGATTTTTTAAAGAATATTTTTTTAAGGACCATCCAGCAAGGCGTGGATTTTTTAAAGAATATTTTTTTAAGGACCATCCACCAAGGCGTGGATTTTTTAAAGAATATTTTTTTAAGGACCATCCACCAAGGCGTGGATTTTTTAAAGAATATTTTTTTAAGGACCATCCACCAAGGCGTGGATTTTTTAAAGAATATTTTTTTAAGGACCATCCACCAAGGCGTGGATTTTTTAAAGAATATTTTTTTAAGGACCATCCACCAAGGCGTGGATTTTTTAAAGAATATTTTTTTAAGGACCATCCACCAAGGCGTGGATTTTTTAAAGAATATTTTTTAAGGACCATCCACCAAGGCGTGGATTTTTTAAAGAATATTTTTTTAAGGACCACCCAAGGCGTGGATTTTTTAAAGAATATTTTTTCAAGGACCATCCAAGGCGTGGATTTTTTAAAGAATATTTTTTCAAGAACCACCACAGACGTGGATTTTTGTAAGGAATATTTTTTCAAGGACCATCTACCAAAGCGTGGATTTTGTAAGGAATATTTTTTCAAGGACCATCTACCAAAGCGTGGATTTTTTAAAGAATATTTTTTCAAGGACCATCCAACGCGTGGATTTTTTAAAGAATATTTTTTCAAGGACCAAATAAATGTGGATTTTTTAAAGAATATTTTTTCAAGGACCATCTACCAAGGCGTGGATTTTTTAAAGAATATTTTTTCAAGGACCATCCAAGGCGTGGATTTTTTAAAGAATATTTTTTCAAGGACCAAATAAATGTGGATTTTTTAAAGAATATTTTTTCAAGGACCATCTACCAAGGCGTGGATTTTTTAAAGAATATTTTTTCAAGGACCATCCAAGGCGTGGATTTTTTAAAGAATATTTTTTCAAGGACCATCCAAGGCGTGGATTTTTTAAAGAATATTTTTTCAAGGACCAAATAAATGTGGATTTTTTAAAGAATATTTTTTCAAGGACCATCTACCAAGGCGTGGATTTTTTAAAGAATATTTTTTCAAGGACCATCCAAGGCGTGGATTTTTTAAAGAATATTTTTTCAAGGACCATCCAAGGCGTGGATTTTTTAAAGAATATTTTTTCAAGGACCAAATAAATGTGGATTTTTTAAAGAATATTTTTTCAAGGACCAAATAAATGTGGATTTTTTAAAGAATATTTTTTCAAGGACCATCTACCAAGGCGTGGATTTTTTAAAGAATATTTTTTCAAGGACCATCCAAGGCGTGGATTTTTTAAAGAATATTTTTTCAAGGACCATCCAAGGCGTGGATTTTTTAAAGAATATTTTTTCAAGGACCATCCAAGGCGTGGATTTTTTAAAGAATATTTTTTCAAGGACCATCCAAGGCGTGGATTTTTTAAAGAATATTTTTTCAAGGACCATCTACCAAGGCGTGGATTTTTAAAGAATATTTTTTCAAGGACCATCTACCAAGGCGTGGATTTTTTAAAGAATATTTTTCAAGGACCATCCAAGGCGTGGATTTTTTAAAGAATATTTTTTCAAGGACCATCCAAGGCGTGGATTTTTTAAAGAATATTTTTTCAAGGACCATCCAAGGCGTGGATTTTTTAAAGAAAATTTTTTCAAAGACCATCCACCAAGGCGTGGATTTTTTAAAGAATATTTTTAAGGACCATCCACCAAGGCGTGGATTTTTTAAAGAATATTTTTTCAAGGACCAAATAAATGTGGATTTTTTAAAGAATATTTTTTTAAGGACCATCCACCAAGGCGTGGATTTTTTAAAGAATATTTTTTTAAGGACCATCCCCCAAGGCGTGGATTTTTAGAGAATATTTTTTTAAGGACCATCCACCAAGGCGTGGATTTTTTAAAGAATATTTTTTCAAGGACCAATAGAGGCGTGGATTTTTTAAAGAATTTTTTTTTTCAAGGACCATCCTAGGCTTGGATGTTTTAAGGAATGTTTTCTCAAGGACCACCAGAGGCTTGGATTTTTTATAGAATATTTTTTCAAAGACCACCTAAGGCGTGGATTTTGTAAAGAATATTTTAACAAATTTTTTTTCAAGGACCTTCCCAATAATTAGGGACTAGGATTTTAATTTTTTTTCAAAGACTTATTTTTCCAACACGATCAGCTCGGTTATGGCTCGGAGTAGGTGTAGACCTTTCAATTCTCTAGTTGAGACTCGCTAGCCTCTTAACAAATACATAAAAAAACTATGAAGTCGTGGGGGTTTTACATGATTCTGGCCTTGACCGCCGCAACCATGATGCGCCATACCAGCGGTGACGCGATACGGACCAGCGGCCCCATTTCAATTACCTAGAATTATCTTTAAGAATGGTAGCTCTCAACTGTGTTTCACGTCTACTGCCATTTCGAAGATCAGCCTTATGGGCTTCACTTCCCTCTTGGTTAGGGGCTGAGGATGACCAGCGTCTCTTTAGAGTTACCCAGAGTTTCCTTAGAACATGGTAGCCCTCCACAGAGTTCCAGGCCTATTCTGCAGGCTATATGGGCTTCACCTCACTATATCTTACACCTCTGCTTATTTATGAGTCCCAGCGGAGAATCGCTGACCCTTCAGCTCCCGGATCATTGAATTCTCCTGTAGTGACTCGCTGTTTCAGCTGTTTTAAGGCTAGTTGCTGTTCTATCAGCTAATCCACAGGGACTCGCTGGTCGTTCAGCTCATCTGTAGAGCCTCCCGACCTTTCAGCTCGTTTAGAGATGGTCAAGTGCACTATGAAGACTATTAGATCCTTCAGCTCGTCTACACAGATACTTCAGCTGATCCTTTCGCTAGATAGTAGATACTCGCTTATCTTTCAGTTTGTACGTTGCCTTCGTGTCGTCTAAATAGAGGTTCGTTTTTATAGACTTCCTTTGTCCATAAAGCGTCCCTTTGACAAGGATTATCAAAGTTGGAAACGTGGATTTTTAAGGGGTATTTTTTAAGGACTATCAACGAAACATGGATTCTGTAATGAATATTTTTCCTCTTGCAGAGGGGTAGACGTGGACTTTTAAAGAATATTTTTATAAAGGATTAAAGAGGCATAATTGTGAATTTTAAAATATTTTTTAATATTTTTTTAGATTTTTAAAAAATATTTTTTCAAGGACTTTTAGAGGGAGAAACGTAGATTTTTTAAAAATTATTTTTTCAAGGAATTTTAGAGGTAGAAACGTGGATTTTTAAATAATATTTTTTCAAGGACTTTTAGAGGAAAAAACGCGGATTTTTAATAAATATTTTTTCAAGGAATTTTAGAGGGAGAAACGTGGATTTTTAAAAAATATTTTTCAGGGAATTTTAGAGAGAGAAACGTGGATTTTTAAAAAATATTTTTTCAGGGAATTTTAGAGGGAGAAACGTGGATTTTTAAAAAATATTTTTTCAAGGACTTTTAGAGGGAGAAACGTGGATTTTTAAAAAAATATTTTTTCAGGGAATTTTAGAGGGAAAAACGCGTGTTTAAAAAAAAAATTCAAGGACTTTTAGAGAGAGAAACGTGAATTTTTAAAAAATTATTTTTTTCTGCGAATTTTAGAGGGGGAAACGTGAATTTTTAAATAAACATTTTTTCTGCGAATTTTGGAGGGGGAAACGTGGATTTTTAAAAAAATATTTTTCAGGGAATTTTAGAGGGGGAAACGTGGATTTTTAAAAAATATTTTTTCAATGACTTTTAGAGAGAGAAACGTGGATTTTTAAAAAATATTTTTTCAATGACTTTTAGAGAGAGAAACGTGGATTTTTAAAAAATATTTTTTCAATGAATTTTAAAGGGAAAAACGTGGATTTTTAAAAAGTATTTTTTTCAAGGCATTTTAGAGGGAGAAACGTGGATTTTTAAAAATATTTTTTTCAAGGATTTTTAGAGGGAGAAACGTGGATTTTTAAAAAAACATTTTTTTCAGGGAAGAAGGGGAAATGTGGATTTTTAAAAAATATTTTTTCAAGGACTTTTGGAGGGAAAACGTGGATTTTAAAAAATATTTTTTCAAGGACTAGCAGAAGAAGGGACATTCAGATATAAAAACGGGGATTTAAAAAAAATCGAGGACCTTTTAACCATTAAACGCGAATTTTTAAGGACTATTTTTCAATAATAGAAGTAGGTGTTTTAAAAAATAGCTCCTCTATAGAGACTTGATGACCCCTTGGCTGGCCAATAGAGACTCCCTTGTCCTCCTTTCATATATAGAGACTTCCAGATCCTTCAACTTACCTGGTGGCACAATATCTCCTTTTTCCTTTGTCCAATAGTTAATGGATCTGGGAAATGCCTCCGAGTCACATTCCAGTGTTACACCTTTGCCTTCCACCGCTCCGATCAGTTGATTTTGCACCGTTATCATGGGAGGGACTGGAATCAAAGGAGGAAACAAGAAAAATAACATTAATTTAAAATATTATTTTTATAAAGTTTTTTTTTATTAAAAAAAAAAAATAATGAAGAAATTTCAACTTACAGTGCACAATTAGTGTTATTCTCTTGCTGACAGATGGCGGTACGCCATTTGAGGCTATGCACAGATAGGCGCCCATATGTTGTCGTTTAACGCTGGGCAATACCAAATTTGTGCCCTCAACGTGGGAAACTGGAATGAGACAAAAAGAGGAAAATTTATAAAAATTAATAAAATTTTGGAATTCAAAAAAATATAAATTTAAAAAAAAAATATAAAAAAAATATATTTTAAAGTGAATAAATTTTAAAATTAGAATTTTAAGTATTTTTTTTAAATATATTTCATAGCTAAACAGCCTTAAAATTTAATTTTTTTCATTTCGAATATTTCAATTTTGAAATCTGAAAATTGAATTTATGCTCCTTTCCTGCTCCCCTTAACATATTTATTCATATCTACCTTCATAAAATTCCTACAAAATTTTTAAACTATTTCCATGCTGTTGTGTTCTTTTTTTTCGCTTTCCTCTTTGACATTTGACCCGGCTAATGTACACTTTCAGTTACCACCTTTAGTTGATGTTTAACAAAATCAGGATCACAAAAACCTGCAGCTAGCCCACCAACCACTGGCGGGATTTGTGGCGGCGTTGGTGGCTACCGGCATGTGGTACACATGCTATTCAAAAAATGAAAAAATTCTGCAAAATCCAACAGAAATGGCTCGTTGCGCGTTGTGTGAATAAGTATGTGTATGTGAGTGTGTCAGTGTGTGTGTGAGTGTGCGTTGAGAGGAAAAATATTTGTGTTAGCATGTAAAATGACATAAAACCCGGTAACGGATATGTGCTTACATTACCTCCACATATGATTCAATTCTATAATGGCCGGAGTGCCAACAACGGACACACCAAACAGATTAGAGTGGAAGTGAAAACAGACACGAAGGTAGGACTCCCTCTAAGGGCCTTAGGCAATACTTTCAGCAAGAGGGGTATATATATTTCAGAAATTTAAGAAAGAGGAGATTTTTCCGAAGTCAACATAAAAAAGCTAAGAGATCATTACACAAATCCAAAATTTAGCTATAAATTCTATTGAGACATATTCCAACTCAGCCGGAACCTTTAGCAGACACTCCGAAGGCTACTTAAATTTCAGTTCGTCTATACGGTTCCCTTGCCTGTTTTAATATTCACTAATTCCCCACAAGGTTAGACAATTCCTGCGTTAGGGAGAATTTGTAAAATTTTATTAAAACCATTTTATTTATCCCAATTTTTTTATAAATATCGAGGCCCTTCCGGAACTCCCTGCAATTTCACACTTGGAAAAAACAATTTTTCCAGCTTTGTTATGTATGAATAACTGAAAAAGCGACGTTTTTACACATGTTAGATTTCATTTATTTCACGCTGATGACTAAACCACTTAACTTTACGAAGGTTGGTAGGGAAAACCGGTGCGAAGAGCCAGAAGTTTTCTGAAAGATCGCTTTATATCTCTATTGGAGGAGCTGGGGGGCAAAGGGTCTATTTAAGGAGTTGAAGAGGTTCTAGGTTTTCTTTAGAAAAGAGGAGATCTTTCTGGCGGGTCAGTGAATCTCCTAAGAAAAGCTGCGACCCTAGTAAAAGGGCTGAATGATCGACGAAACTCCATGGAAGACCTGAAGGGGTAGAAATGTCTTCAGAGAAGGAGCTAAAGGGCCGATAAATCTCTACAAAAGAGTTTAAGAGCCCGAGATACTTCATAGAACAGCATCAGCGACTCTTCATAGAAGAGCTGAAGCCTCAGCGAGCCTTCATAGAAGATCTGAAGCCTCAGCGAGCCTTCATAGAAGAGCTGAAGCCTCAGCGAGCCTTCATAGAAGAGCTGAAGCCTCAGCGAGCCTTCATAGAAGAGCTGAAGCCTCAGCGAGCCTTCATAGAAGAGCTGAAGCCTCAGCGAGCCTTCATAGAAGAGCTGAAGCCTCAGCGAGTCTTCATAGAAGAGCTGAAGCCTCAGTGAGTCTTCATAGAAGAGCTGAAGCATCAGCGAGTCTCCAGAGAAGAGCTGACAGTTAAGGGATTGAGGGCCAGCGAGTCTTCATAGAATAGCTGGAGGGCAGCTTGTCGTTGTAAAAGAGCTGAAGCATAAGTGAATCTTCAGAGAAGAGCTATAAGACAGCAAATTTCCTTAGAAGGACTTAGCGGTTCTCCATCGATGATCTGGATTGTCAGCGAATTTTCAGAGAAGAGCTGAAGGGTCAACGATTGTCTAGAGAAAAGCTGAAGGGTCAGCGATTTTCCAGAGAAGAGCTAAAGGGACAGCGATTTCCTACAATCGAACTGAAAGGCAAGTGATTCTCTAGAGAAGGGCTGAAGGGTCAGGGATTGTAGAGAGAAGAGTTGAAGGGTCAATGAAGCACCAGAAAAGATAGAAAGGTCAGGAAATCTGCAGAGAAGAGCTGAAGGGTAGGCTAGTCTTTATAAAAGAGCTGAAGAACCAACGAGTCTTCATAAAAAAGCCGGAGGGCCAGCGATTCTCCAGAGAAGAGCTGAATAGTCAGCGATTTTCCAAGGAGGAGTTGTAGGGTCAGGGAAACTCTAGGGAAGAGCTGAAGGATCATTGAATCTCTGGAAACGATCTCAGAGACTTTCCAGAGAAGGTCTGAGGGTTCAGCGATTCTCCAGAGAAGAAGTTCTCCACAAACGAGTTGAAGGGTCAGCTATTCTCCATAGACGAGCTAAGCTCAATGGACGAAGTGAAGTCAAATGGACGAGAAAGAGTTGGACGAGCGACATGAGGCTTCATGGACGAGCTGAAGCTCCATAGACGAAATGAGGCTCCCTAGATGAACTGAGGCTCCCTAGACGAACTGAGGTTACCTAGCTAAAGATCCATTGACGAGCCGAGGGTTCATAGACGAGCTGAGTCTCTTTAGACAGCATGAGGCCCTTTAGACGATCTGAGGCTCTATAGACGAACTGAGACTCCATAGACGAACAGAGCCTCCATAGATCTGTTGAAGGTCCACAGACTAATTAGGCTCCATAGACGTGTTGATGGTCCTTAGTCGAGCTAAGGCTCTATAGATGAACTGAGACTCTATAGACGAGCTGAGGTTCCATTGATCAGCTGAGTTGACGAGCTATGGAGCCTCCATAGCTGACCTGGGGCTCCATGCACTACCTGAGGTCCCATAGATCAGTTGAAGCTTCACTGACGAACTGAGACTACATAGACAAGGTGAGTCTCCATGGACGAACTGAGGCCTCAAAGATAAACTGAGGCCTCATAGACGAACTGAGACTCCATAAACGAGTTGTGGCTCCATAGACGAACTGAGGCTCCATAGACAAACTGAGTCTATAAACGAGCTGAGGCTACATAGACGAACTTAGATTCCATAGGCAATCTGAGGCTCCATAGAAAAGCTGAGGGTCCATAGTCGAGCTGAGCCTCCAGGGACACACTGAGGATCCATTGGTTATCTGGGGCTCCATAGATAAACTGAGGATCCATAGACGATCTGAGGCTCCATAGACAAATAGAGTCTCCTAGACGAGCTGAGGATGCATAGACAAACTAAGGTTACCAAGAAGAGCTGAGTCTCAAGGGACAAACTGAGGATCCATTAGCGAGTCGAGGTTCCATAGTCAAACTGAGGGTCCATAGACGAGTTGAGGCTCCATAGATGAACTGAGGCTCCATAAACAACCTGAGGGTCCATGGACAATCTGACACTTCATAGACAAACTGAGGGTCCATAGTCGACCTGGGCCTCCTTAGACGAGCTGTGGCTCCAAAGACGAGCTGAGACTCTACAGACGACCTGAGGCTCCCTAGACCCACTGAAGCTTCCCGGACGAGCTGGAGCTCCTTAATCGTGCTGAGGGTCAATGGACGTTTTGAGGATCCATAGACGAGCTAAGGCTCCCTTGACGAATTAAGGCTTCCTAGTCGAACTGAGGCTCTCCAGACGAGCTGAGGCTCCATAGACTAGCCGGGTCTGCTTAGCCGAATTGGAACTCCTTCTACAAGCTGCGTCTTGATGGACTTGTTGAGGTTGTACAGACGAGCTGACTTATTCCAATAAGTCTGGTCATTTTGTCTATTTCAATCGCTTAGAGAGAAAAACCAGTGAAAGTGCAACCAGTTTGATAATGTTCTGCTTTCTATATCCATCATGACCCAACACTTTCACCCCGAACCGAACATACTTTCACTTTTCAAATGAAAACCTGCTGCCAATTATAAGGACCTCATCATTTTTGTGTCCACCACTTATTTACTCTCATTGACCCCCTCTCGTTGCTGTGGCCATTCATCGTCATAGTCTGGGCCACAATAAAAACAAAAGTCCTGCTCGACATGTGTGTGTACGAGCGTGTGTGTGAATGTGGCATTTATTACGAAAATATTTATGCGGAAAATATTGTTTTGGCCTAAAATTGCATTGCAACTTTGGTTGGCAGCCAGCCGGGTTTGGTTGGTTGTCCGGTTTTTTTGGTTGGTGTTGCTGTTGTTGTCTTAGCACCGGTTTTTACTGTTTGGCCTGTTTTCCTGTCGTAGCCATATCAAATGTTTAGGTCAAAAATTATATCATTTGCTGCTCTGAAAATGTGGAAATGTGTTTGGGAGACGGTGTTGCAGCTACTGGGGTTTTGTTTTTGTTCGAACCCTCCACCAAATGCAATTTCCCAAACATGAAATTGTGAAAGCCTGGTTTTTAGTTTTTTGTCCGTTTGATTTTATTGTGTTGTGTTTTGGCCAAGGACCTGTTTGGCTGTTATAATGATAAACATTAAAGGAAATAGTTGGATATGGAAAAAGGATGTGCATGTTTTATTCCGAATTCTCATTCTAGGTGAAATGGATTTAAATAAAACCATATAACATTTTCCATATTAGGCATATGGTTATGTGGATGGGATTGAGTTTAGAGGGAAATGTTAGGAAATAGGATTCTTTTGTCGATTTCCCAAAAAAGTGATAAGAAAAATGGACGGATAGAGGAAAGTGTGATATGGGACCACAAAAATAATTTTTAAAAAATCCACGTTTGCTATGGGAGCTCAAAAATAATTTTTAAAAAATCCACGTTTGCTATTGGAGCTCAAAAATAATTTTTAAAAAATCCACGTTTGCTATGGGAGCTCAAAAATAATTTTTAAAAAATCCACGTTTGCTATGGGAGCTCAAAATAATTTTTAAAAAATCCACGTTTGCTATGGGAGCTCAAAAATAATTTTTAAAAAATCCACGTTTGCTATGGGAGCTCAAAAATAATTTTTAAAAAAATCCACGTTTGCAATGGGAGCTCAAAAATAATTTTTAAAAAATCCACGTTTTGCTATGGGAGCTCAAAAATAATTTTTAAAAAATCCACGTTTGCTATGGGAGCTCAAAATAATTTTTAAAAAATCCACGTTTGCTATGGGAGCTCAAAAATAATTTTTAAAAAATCCACGTTTGCTATGGGAGCTCAAAATAATTTTTAAAAAATCCACGTTTGCTATGGGAGCTCAAAAATAATTTTTAAAAATCCACGTTTGCTATGGGAGCTCAAAAATAATTTTTAAAAAATCCACGTTTGCTATTGGGAGCTCAAAAATAATTTTTAAAAAATCCACGTTTGCTATGGGAGCTCAAAATAATTTTTAAAAAATCCACGTTTGCTATGGG